TAGCAGTCAGCTGGGATCGTCAGAGCTTGGATCGTCAGAGCCATTTAAAAGAAAAAAACTTTAAATGGGTCTGACGATCCAAGCTGAGTTGCCTGATTAGCAGGCAACTCAGATTGGCTCATCAGAGCTTGGCTCGTCAGAGCCATTTAAAAGGAAAAAAAGGCTCTGATGATCGCGCGGCTCAGCTGGGCATGGGGGGCGGGGGCAGGGATTTTTGCTACCGGTTCTCCGAACTGCCCGCTGCCATCGCTACCTACTCACCCGAGCCAGTCCGAACCGGGAGCATTTCACCCCTGGTGTGGCCTATCTTCTTACCAATTGGTTAGTGGAACTCCCAGGAACTAGGTGACTTTTTTTAGTCCAGTTCATTGAATGTGAAGTGAAAGAACTTATTGAAGTCTGAACTAGTGTAAAATGTAATGGATATGAAGAAAAACAATCTATATAATTACTTGAGGTATGATGGGTCTTATAAATAGATAATATATATATTATATATTATAATATATTATAAATCTTATAAATAGATAAATAAATATTTGAATAAGTATTTATAATGATGAGAATCAGTTTTTTATGTATAGTAATTGTACTATACATTGTACAGTAATTGTACTAAATGGGATAAAGCAAAAAAATTTTTTTGAATCATATTAACAAGAACAATACTTTTCAATTGGATAAACACATTCATGTGAAGATGGGCTTGCTGCCTTGAATTATCTAATGGATAAAAATCTAAGCATAATAAATAAATATAAGCATTACATTTTTTAATTCAAAAAAGATATTAATTCAAAAAAGAAGTTAACCTGTAGAACATCACTTTTCATAATCAGATTGCCAATTAGATGTTTTTATTTACTATATTTCTTATCTTACAAATATCCTATTCTTAAGCATAGGGACTCTGGCCAAGTATGATATATTCCTGTTCATGTCATTATTATAATTTTTAGGATGACCTTGTATGTCTTTATTATATTTTAAAAAGCAAGATAAAACTAATACAAATATAAGTCGGAAATCATAAATTCACTTTTTTTAAAATGTAAAAATGCCAATAAGGGGTTTCCAGTCAGCAATAATTGTAGATAATATATTTTCTCTGATCAAAGAAGTCAATTTAGCCATCTCAGCAAGTTCCATCCTCTTCACCAACCATTTATGCATTGTGGGTAATTTATTTCCATCTCTATATAGAATAATCTCAATCATTATATACACTAAGATGAAATATCATACACTATACAAAAACAAGTTTCCATAGCTTTTTTCCCAATAGTTTATCCATCAATCCCAAAAGAAAGATCTCTGGTTTCAGTTGTGTATTAATCTTTAAAATTCCCTGAAACAGTGTGTGTATTTGAATCCAATTTTTAAAAGCTTTTTCACACATCCACCAAACATGATAAAAAGTTCCTTCTTGTGGTTCATATTTCCAACATAAATTTGAAGTGCCTTTATATGTTCTAGACAATGTTTCTGGTGACATAAACCAATGTTACATCATTTTATAAAAAATTCTCTTTAAATATAATTTAAAGAGAATGTAATTTTCAAGTCTTTCAGCCACATACTTTCCCATTGTTTCACCTGTATATTAAAACCAAAATGTTATCCCAGTTTATCATATTCTCTTGCTTATTCATTTTTACTTGGTAAAAGTTTATATATATTAGCAATTACATAGTTATAATTTGTATACAATCCTGTTTCATACTCAGCCAAACAATGTTCAGAACCATACATTCTTTTGTTTCCTTTAGATCTTTCTAGTAACTATTGACAAATACATTCATTTGCCACGAGTTGTTCTCTTTATTTTATTTTACATTCCCCTTGGCAAAATTCTGGTATTTCACAATAAGTAAGCCAATTTTTTCAGGCTTATTATTGCTTCTCTATAAAATGGTTTTTGTGCTGAGAGTGAAAAATGTGGTTTGGACACAATTTGAGTTTATATCTATTCCAAATTCTCAATAAGACAAATCTAACATAATGATTTTTTTAAATCCACATTAACCTTGACTTTGTTGTACCATAAATATCCACGCCACTCAATTCTCAAGTCATGTCCTTCTAACCCCAAAAGCATTTTATTTCTCAGCTGAACCCAGTCTTCCATGAAAACCAAACAGCAAACTGCAATTAGGTAAACTCTTCTCTTTGCAGCTTGTAACACTTTATACAGGTAATCCTCAACTTACTACCATCCATTTAGTGGCAATTCAAAGTTGCAACAACACTGAAAAAAGTGACTTATGATTGCTTATTACACTTACAGCATCCAATGGTCATATGATCAAAATACAGGCACTTGGGAGTTGGTATGAATTTATGACAGTTGCAGCATCTCAGGGTCATGTAATTCACCTCTTGTGACCTTCGACAAGCAAAGTCAATGGGGAGACCAGATTCACTTAACAATCATGTTACTAACTTAAGAACTACAGTGATTCACTTAACAACTGTGGCAAGAAAGGTCCTAAAATGACAAAACTCACTTAACAACTATCTTGCTTAGCAATGGAAATTTTGAGCTCAATTGTGATAATAAATCGAGGTCTACTTGTATTTAACCAGTGGCTTTTTGCCACTGTTAAGTTTGTTAAGTTTTTCTGCCACTATTTAAATGGTAAGTTGTCAAAACAGGTATTGTCTGTAATAAAAACAATCTTGTAAGCAAAGAAAGAAAAAGACAATGAATCATGATAGGTTGGTTCAATCCTGTGTATGTATGTATGTATGTATGTATGTATGTATGTATGTATGTATGTATAGAATTAAACCTATTAGGACCAATTAATTTATTAGGACCAATACTGCAGAATGTGTTTCAAAAGGTTGATGGCTAAATTTGATACTTGCTATACAATGATCTAATGAGAAATTATTTTGCATAGGTCTCATTCAAATTGATGGAAATTGTTTAGGCAGGAGTTATTTTAATTATGCAGAAAAACTGTTTTGTAAGCAAGCACCACATTATTCAATGTCTGTATATGTGTGATTTGGATTCTCCATTCTCAAATATCAAACGATTTGCCCTGGGAATAAACTTCTCATGCCATCTGACGTTTTGTCCATCTGTCTTGAGGGGTTTTCTCTCTCTCTTTCTCCTCTTCTCACTTTCTCTGAAAATAGTAGCAGTGTCTATTTCTGAACCGGAAATGTGGCAGAAGGGGAACGAAAGAGGGAGGGAGGGAGGGAGGAGCAAGAGGGAAATGGTAAGGTAGAGAATTTGCTTAAGGTCAGAGGGGGTGAAAAAGAAACAGAGCTGTTCTTACATCTGTCGCAATCAATTCAACAGTTCTTCAGGAAAGAAAATACAGAACTTGTTCTATTCTGTTTCAGCTGCCCTGTTGGAATTAGGTGAACCAATTGTGAATGGCTGGAAATTGTCCATTGGGAAGTAAATAAACCTTCTTAGGGATAAATGCAGCCATTGAAGAAGCTGGAGGATGTTCGTATTGTACATCCACGACCACCAGCAAGAACAGATGGGAAACAAAGGATTATTTTGATACAGGATGAAAATTTATCTCTTTCCTCTTCCTTTCTTTCTTTGGAAGGAATACTCCGAATACAGTGATGAAGAATTTATGACACATGTGTCAAAAGTGACATGCCACAATGTTTTGGATGACTCATCAGCATTCAACAGTATCTGATAACAGCTATTCTTGAAAATACACTTTGGAGGCTAGGGAGACTATACAAGAATTGGTGTGTTCCTGCATGACCTCCGGAGTTTTCAAAAATCAATGAGAATAGTGCATATTTTGGGGTGGTTTGTAGAGAGTGTAGCGGCTGAAGAAGAGCATTCTCCAAAGCTTTTTCAACAATGAAGGCCTTGTGAGACACAGAGCAGCCTTTGATAGACCATGGGGGCCTGTTGCACCTTGGACAGCAACACAAAGTAGCATTTTTGAGGGTCAGTAGTAGTGCTAGGCCTGAAGTTTGAGATCCAGGCTACTTCTACTTCAGGCTCGGTATCAACATTGCTGTCACTACTATTCAAGGTGGCTTAAATGTGGAAGGAGATAGATAATTGTTTCTCTTTAGTTTGGGAAGGAGGGTAGTTGGGGTGGGTGATATGCCACAGAGTCAAGTTAGACATTTTCTTAATTTTTGATATGCCAAGCTCAAAAGATTTACCCTTACTGTCCTAACAATCAATCAATGAAAGATTGATTTTATATTTAAGCATTGATCCATAAACATTTCTGTTGTTGAATGATGAGACAAGATATTTTGTTTATCAGCCAGCTTGTGATAGAATCTAATATTCATTAGGATGAAAGGAAGTGACTGGTCCAAGATTACCCATCTAGTTTCCATGATCCAGGGAGGACTAAAAGCTAGGTATCCCCATTCCTAGTCAAGCTCCTTAATCACTACGTCATACTGATTTCCATATGTCTATTGGAGTATATCTGAATGAGTAATAATAAATATTTGATTGATTGATCCAAATTATATTCTACCTTTCTACATGCAAAATATGGATAGTGTGTTGGTCATATGTGGTCAGCTTTTTCCAACTTAGACACAAAGACATAAATCAGGAGAAACACAGATACTAAGTAATAAGAAACTCTAAAATGCAAAGTTATGCAACATTGTGTGTGTGTGTGTGTGTGTGTGTAAGTAATATGTAAACAATATGTAGGCTACCTGTGGGTACATAGTTGGAAAGTAAGAATTTGGTGGGAATGCATATTACATGAGCTATTTTGCACAATGAAGTTTTCAAATGGCAATAGGGCCAAGCAAGGATTATATCACCTTGTAATTACTTTCTAATAATAAACAATACACAAAACTGAAGTGTGAATGGTTGCCATAACATTTTCTTAAAAATTGTACCTTACTTGACTACAGGCATGTCTCAGCATACAAGCAGAGAACAAACTGAGTTTGTGGAAAATATGTAAAGTGATAGCCTACCTTTCTTTTCTCTCTTCCCCAATCCTTCTTTCTACCTCACCAATTAGGAGGATGTTTCCATTTCTGAGTTTCAACATCTCCGGGCTGGATCCTGTGGCTCATTATAGCATCTATGTGGATGTTGTGTTAGTGGATCAGCACCACTGGCGATACCAAGGAGGGAAATGGGTTCAGTGCGGCAAGGCTGAGGGAAACATGCCAGGTATAAATAGAGAAATCTTCTTTCTTCATTGTCTCTTCTCTCTCTTTTCAGAGGAATAAAATTCCAGTCAGGATTCTAGTACAGCAAACATTTAAACAAATCTTCTTTTAAGTGTATGTGCATGAATTACTATTTTGTTTTGTTTTTTGTTTTTAAAGAGGTAATTACCACCTTAAATTAAATGTGAATGGTTTCAAATCTAGTTTGGCTCCATACTATAAAAAGAATAATAAAAAATTAGCAAAAATATGCTTCCCATCCTCAGGCTTCTACAACTATCGGACTCATCCTCCGGCATATAGCAGAATGAATGAGGAGAAGGTCCATGATAGTTTAAGCTTCTAGATAACACATTCTGTCCAATCCAAGATAATAAAATAATAAAAGAGATGCATGAATCTGCATGAATCTGAAGGCTTTCTTACTAGGGGCATGCAGCATTTCAGATTTGAGGGGGACAAGGTGCTTTGTAGCACATGGAGGGGCTCCTGAATTCCCCAATGGCTATTTTTAATGGGGTCACATCTTTTCCAGGAATATTATTATAGAGATGATCACGCATGGTCCCAAACACCCATTCCTTTCAACATCACACAGCCCTACTTCCTACCCTTATTATTTCTTCACATACAGTATTCGTTTTTGTTTCAATTCAGTCATGAATTTTCTATTTTCTAAATAGGAATTCATAGATTTAAAATGTTTATTTATTGCTTTTCTACAAAGACTTCCCAAAACATTTACAGGTAATCCTCAACATAACCATAATGAAGACTGGAATTTCTGTCATATGTCATAACAATCATAAATTGAGGCACCTGATTGAGGCATCAGATCAGCATGACTGATCTGATTTTATGACATTTTTGTGGCAGTCGTTAAGTGGACATTACACTAATGTGGTGGTTGTTAAATGAAACCCACTGTCTGAAAGTTGTCATTGTCACAGGTTGGAAATAAATGTTGGTTTCCATCAATAAACACTGTAAATCATAGTCACATGGCCTCAGGATAATCTAAACAGCTGTAAATGTGAGCCGGTTGCTGAGCATCCAAAATGTGATCATGTGACACTGCGTGTGTTTTTGTGTGGGAGGCACTGGAACTTTGAATCCAGATCATAAGTACCTTTTGGGGGTCTGCTATAACTTTAAATAGGTGCTAAACAATGGGTCATAAGTTGAGGCCTACTGTACCCTACCAGTAGGCATTAATAAATAACAATGAAATGAAACTGATGATGATGTCAGGAATGCACAGAGGTATTACACCAGCAGTCCCCAATCTTTCCTGCTTGGCGGACCATCAGGGAGGGGCAGGGATGGTTCTCTATGAGGGGCAGATGCGTGTGGGGGTGCTTGCACAAATGGAGCTTCATACATGAGCGCAGAAGAGGAGCAGTGCGCACACACATGCTTGCCTGCCGCTTTCACAACCCGGTTCTGAATGGGCCGTGGCCCAATAGTGACTCACAGCCCCAAGGGTTGGGGACCTCTATATTGCACAATTCCTCCGATACTAAAAAAATATAGTTCTTCTTATTACACTCTAATGGAATAATATTTAATTGTCCAAAATAGGTAGTCAGGAGTGCTATTCAAGTTGGAAAATAGTATTTTAGATGGACTCTATGGATCCTCAAAGGGATCTAAAGAAATTAAGATCTTAGATGGAAATTAGGATTTTGGAGGAAGCCCTATAAGGAAGCAGTTATTTCCTGTCTCCAATCAGTGAGACTAATAACATTCTGATATGGCTAAAGAAGCCTCAAAGGCAGGTGCTAAGTATCAGTCATTATCATTTTGGGTAAACTAAAATATTAGGGCTCTCTTTAAAAAAGAAAGAAAGAAAGCAATGCTGAAAACGTTGAATCCTTGTAATTTAAAAAAAAAAAATTTTAAAGAAAATTTATATGGCTGCGCAACTCACTCTCAGTGACTCCGGGCAACTTGCAACTAAAATATTTAAAATATTTCTTTCACCCCATAATACCTATCCAATCAGTGGACACCATTTTCTATCTCCTTACTGACAGAAGCTACAATTGTTCAGAAGATCTCTATGGAACCATTCCATTTTCCTGCTGGCTTAGAATTTAGCTGGAATGCTGAGGTGGAAGAAAGTGGCTTTGTGTCCTAACTGGAATTCCTATTTATATAATTGATTCTTTAAAAAAAAAAAAAACTGTACTATTAATACTAGTCCAAATATCATAAAATTATTTTAGCAGATAATTTCTAAATAAAATTGTCACACAGGATAGATGTTTAAATTTCTCTGATTCAAATTAGAAAGTGAAAAAAAAAATCCTATCATTGTTGCCATTCCACCATCCCAGTTGCATTTTCAAATATTACCCCAATTTCAAGACCCATTGCTCCATCTGCTGCCAGAGATGAGAAATGGCACCCTAATTATTAAAAACCTGTTAACAAAATGTTAGTGCAAAAAAAATTTTTTTAAAGATTTTTTTTACCCCACTTTTATTATTCTTATAAACAATTCAAGGTGGCAAACTTACATAATTCCTCTTCCTATTCATGAAGACTATTCCTATTCCTACAGACAACACAAAATTTATTATATGAAATAATAAATTAAAGATGTCTCTGAGAATGTGCAAAGTGGTTTTCCACTGCTATAAAGTAAACTACTATAAACTACTGCTATAAAGACCACTGCTATAAAGTAAACTACATGTTTGGTGGATTTGAGATTTAGAGATAAAGAATTTATGATAGAACAAACTAGGAGTCCCCAAATTCTTCTGCTCATCAACCCCTTCAGATTGTCCATTAACCCCTAAATGTTTACTATATAAAAATAATTTATTAAATATTACTTTAGTAATACAGATAGTCTTTGACATATAATCATTCACTTAGTAACTGTTCAAAATTACAATGGCACTGGAAAAAAGTGAATTGTGACTAATATTTCCATTTACAACCACTGCAGCATCCCCATTATCAAAATTTGGATGCTTAGCAGATATTTACAACAATTGCAGCCTCCTGGCATGGTTATATGATCACCATTTGCAACTTTCTCAGTCGACTTCCAACAAGCAAAGTCAATGTGGAAAACCAAATTCACTTAACCACCAAGTTATTCACTTCAGTATAGCAGTGATTCATTTAACAGCCAGGCAAAAAAGGTCATAAAATTAGGCACAACTCACTAAACAACTGCCTTGCTTAGCAAGTTCTGGCCCCAGTTGTGGTCATAAGTCAAGGACTATCTGTACTACAAATAACAATAAAGGATAAGAACAACAACAATAATAATTTCATTAAAAGTAAGTAATTTTTAAAATATGACAGGCATTTTAATGTTAGGATCCTTAATGGGAAAGTTGCATCTGACGAGCATCAACAAGAGCACTGGTTCTAATAGAAATTGTTGAATTTTATACCTTCTACCTGGTTTGGACTGTTCCTATTCACCACCAGCCCTTGGATAGTCCTATCAACGTCAGGGGGGGAGGTCAATATTGTCTACTTTGGGGTACCCTGAACATAGTTTTGCACATTTAGGAACCATTCTTATCCTAATTGCTTGTTTGTACAGCAGGTAACATATCTTGATTTCAAAACGTAATGCTTTACCTTTAAAAATTATAATCTGTGTCTATATTGCAAGATGAGATGGGTTTAGGATAATCTCTGTTTATTAGAATCCCCTTGGCCCAAGAAGCTGACTAAAAATGTAAAGAAAATGGCATGTTTATGGGATTTCACATTCTGGGTTATCCTATTTGTTGGCAGGGTCATAGTTCGAAATACAATCCTGTAATCTATATATGCCTGTTCTCCTCACCCCATCCCTATCAAAACACACATCCACGTCATATAATTGTCATACTTCCTCCTAAAAAATTGGAAACTGTTTTCAGGAACAGACCAAGCAAAACTTAGCAAGAACAGTTGGTCTGAAGTAGCTTCAAGTGAGTTTATTTACTTAATAGTTTAGTATGAGCTTTCTCCATACTTAAACTGCAAGATACTTACTGGAAATGCCATCCTTCTGGCAGGGAATCGGACATACATGCATCCAGATTCTCCCAACACTGGAGCTCATTGGATGCGACAGGAAATTTCCTTTGGGAAACTGAAGCTCACCAACAATAAAGGAGCATCAAACAATATCACCCAGGTAATGGGGTTCCTTAATCTGGCTTTTATCCATCCCATTAACATTGCTATTAAAAAATTCAGGATTGTTATTGGGGTGGAATATGTTCAACTGCAACTCACAGATCATGTTTGAATGAATTGTGTCCTGTGTATTTGGCAGATGATTGTATTGCAGTCCTTGCACAAGTATCAGCCTCGTCTGCATGTTACCGAGGCCAAGCAGGGCGAAGTGGATGAGGTGCATCCTTCAATCTGCACTCAGACCTTTACTTTTCCAGAGACTCAATTCATTGCGGTTACTGCATACCAAAATGCTGATGTAAGTTTACATGAGAAGTGGAATTGTCCCCTTTTACTCTTCATATGGCAGAAGGGTAAGAAGGTGGTGGCAAAATATTTATTTGCCTGTTTGTGGTATTTCTATCTCACCATTCCTATAAAACTTCATACACTCCTGGCTTCCCACCCCCATTTTATCTTCATGGTATTTCTGTGAGGGATTTTAGGCCTAAACGTGGAAATGGGGTCATTTGTGTCACTTTATTTAGCAACCAGAGTTAGGACCAGCAAATTGGTCATTGAACAAAGCAATTGCTAAGTTTAAGTAAGATTATAATTGGGCTTATAATCTTACTAAAGCTTTTCTTTGCTTCAAAGGCCATAAAAGGAAGAATGTGTTGTAAAGTTACTTTTTCATCACTATCATAACTGCAAACAGTTGCTAAATGAGACAGTCATTTAATGAGGATTATTGCGCCATGACTAAGCTAGGATTTGAACCTGGATCTTATCATATTATATTATAATATATATTTTTTAAAATTTATTTATATGCTGCCCTTCTCCAGAGACTCAGGCAGCTTACACTGCGTTAAGCAATAGCCTTCATACTTTTGTATATTTTATACAAAGTCAGCTTATTGCCCCCACAAACTAGGTTACAGTACATTACTATATTACATTACATTACATGATGTTATAATGATAATAAAATTTATAGCTACTGTTTTCTCACTTTTTCCTTGATTTTTTTTTTCTAGATCACTCAGCTGAAAATAGATCATAACCCTTTTGCTAAAGGCTTCCGTGACAATTTTGATACGTAAGTCTATTGCATTTTCTTTCAATTTCTTAATGTATTCATTAACATTTCATGACCCCTTGTATTCTATTTGACCATAATACCTTCTGCCTCCTCTAGGTGTGTTACCAATTTAATCATTGCATAGAAATGGTTAAAGAGTTATGCCAAACTGTAGTTTGATATGGTTTCTTAATTGCACAGTAATTAGTATATTAGATGAGTTGCAGTGGGGAGTTGGCAAACAAAAATAGCAATGGATCATCTGGTGTTCTCCAGAGATCTGAAGATAGAGCACCCATTATTCTTGATTATTAAGTTATGCTATCTGGAATATATGTGAGCTGTATGTGGAGGACAGCCAACTGTCCATCCTAGAGCAGGACAAACAGGTACCATGACTTGAAATATGCTTACAATCCAATCTAGTGCCCAAGAATGATTGTCTTTCCTAACTATCTGGTGCAGATTCCTTATCTCACACCCATTTGCTGTTTTTTTCTTTCCATTCTCCACCCTTTGACAGGATGTATACCACAACCGAGGGAGAGCGCACAACCCCATCTCCACCCAGTGTGGCCAGCTGCCAGCAGCTCCTGGCAGGCAGCCGGTTCCAGCCTTACTTGCATGACCAGTTTCCACTGCCCCAGAGCCGCTTCTTCAATCGGGAATGTGTCCCACTCCCTCTGCCACCCAAGGATCCTCCCCACTGGTATTTTGCTTCACAACAGCCTCCCCCTGCTCCCCTGGAATATGGTGCCTATGAGGGAGACTTCCGAGGGAACAAATTTATGCCCTATGGGGTAAAGCCATTTGCTCTCCAGCCGGCCTCCCATTCCTCCTTGCCCTACTATCCGGACCACCCATTTGGTCCTTCTCCTGCATGGAGTTCGCCACCTCAGTACCACCATCCCAAGCCCAATCCAGGGCCTCTGAGCTGGTTGCGGCCCATGCGGGATTTGCAGGCCTTGCCTGCTGGAGAGGAGAAAGGGAAGGACAATGAGGGCTGGGCTGAACCAGGCTCAGTGAAGTCTGCAGATTCTTCAGACTCTGGCTTATACGAAGCTGAGTGTAAGCGTCGCAGAGTGTCTCCATATGTCTCAAGTGCCGAAAGCTCCCCACCTCTCCGCAATGGGGAGCTCTATGACAAAGAAGGTGGTGGGGACAGTGGTTATTATGGGTTCTATGGCAACTAAGAGAAGTCAGAGTGGTGTAATAGCAAAGGATGGGGGGTTCATGTCAGAGGTTCCCTGTAAGATGCATCTCTTCATGGGGAATAGTCCACTCCTCCATGGGCAGTGCCAAAAGTATCGCTAAGTCATAGAATGAGGTTCTTTGTAATCACACTTCTTTATTCTACAGTTTCCAGGTGGTAGTCTTCTGGTGTAAAACATGCATTCATTGCGACATTTGTGGATCTAAGTGATGCAAGCTTTCATGGTGAGCCCAGATCTTGGCTCTTGGATTCCCTTATATTCATGTATAAGAGCTTTTGCTTGTGTGTGGCAAATGACAAGGACAGACATACTCCAGTAGAAATGCATCAACGCAACACATCTGCAGGTTCTCTTCACATACTGTAGCTATTTTCAATTCTGCTTCCAAGCTCTGCCATTCCTGCATATTGTTGAGCAATGAGAAACAATTTTATCTTCTTAAATGCATTGAAATGTTTAGCAAACATTAACATGTGAAATTCAACATGGAGAGATCTGATAAACTCACACATGTGCACAAATACTTCTTAATTCTGAAGTGCATGCCATAATGCTACATATCAGCTTGCTAGTTTCAGTTGTTCTGATCTACTAGAGATTGGTGCAGCAAAGTAGGTCTCAATGTAAGTATTACCTGCTGAATTGGAAACCATGAGCATAACTAAGCTATGCATCTGTCTGAGGATGCAATCTCTCTGCAGTGCTTTGCTTTAAAAGAGACATGCATTTTGTGCCTTTGAATGAGTACAAACAGACCTCTTTTGTTCTTGCACAGCTAGTAACATATCAATGTCTTTATCATAACAAAATTTAGGACAATGTAATTACACTCCAGTCTCTACCTATCTATCCTCCTTAAAATCCCCACAATCCATTCACATATCATTGGGATTATCGTGGATAGAAAAACTGATTTAAAATTATGGCAAGCAATTTGGAATTTGGAAAAATGTTTTTGGTACAAAACAAAAATGTACTATTCCTGCATTTTATTTCAATTCTGCATGCTTGCTTTTAAAATCAAGGTTCTTTTGGTCCAACCCATCCAGGGATTGGTAACCTCAAGTGTCTTTTTGACAGAGCTCACCATATACATCTGATCACATACAGATGTGCTGTGTTCTCATTGTTTTGCGTTCACTTGGATGGGTGCTTGAATTAAAGAATTCAACCACTTATTGAGTATAAGAAAGGAGGAAATGTATCCCCCCCAAAATAGAGGACAAATTCATATAGACATAAATTTGGCAACCGATACAAATAGAATGCAATATATCATAAAATACTGGAGAAAATTTCAACCAGTACATCAATATGCTATATACAAAGATTTTGTTGTTGTTTGGCAATTTTAATGCCCTTGTTATCCCTTTGACAATTTAAAAAAAAAAAATTAAACTAGATTTTAGTTGTATTTCCTTTCAAACAGAAGAGGATAAGATTGCAGTTACAGCCTACATATGCAAAACCATAGGTTACAATAATAATTTCCTCATTGTTGTCATAGAACACTATCTCTCTAATTATGAACTAGAAATAACAAAACTTGTTTTATGGCAAAATCAACTAACCAACCAACCAACCAACCAACCAACCCTGAATCAAGAGTAGCTGAACCTGAGAGATGGGTCTTTGTGCACAAGCTTATTCCACTTAATAATCCAGTGCATTGACTCCTTAGTCATGTAAAGAAATCAGAAAGTTAGCCAGTTCTGGGATTCATAACTCAGCTGTAGGACAAAACTTATACAGGTATGCAAATATGTATTTTCTGATATGCATACTATGGACAATACTGAAGTTCTTTGGGACTCTGGGACTGTTTAAAATGTAAAGTCAAAGAAGAAGATTTTGTATTATGACTCCATTCTAAATATCCTAGCACAAGGTCCCCAACGCCTGGACCGCAGCCCATTCGGAATCAGGCTGCTCAAGAGGCAGATGAGGATGCATGCATGCGGCTCCACTCACACAAGCAGCAGGTGCTGGTACTCATGTGCGAAGCTCCATTTGTGCGAGCAGCAGGTGCATGCACTCCCCTCTCCTAATGCCTGCCCTGGGCCACCAAGCCAGAAAGTTTGGGGACCACTGTTCTAGGAAGCAAAGTATTGCTGGTAAAAAGTCATGCACCATGAATTCCTTTCTAATGGACAGATGTGACACACCTGAATTCTAAAGAATTGAACAAGTTGTTCGTAGGACTCCTATTTTGAAATTCTTGCTGCCATTTTTGCTTGCTATTTAATGTCCCAATCCACAGATTTCAACCACAGAGAAGCACGAAGGCCAGATGTAATCAGCATTCAGGAATAGGTTTACCAAGGAACCTCCCTACTTCTCTCCTCTGAAAATTGGTGGTGCAGGCAAAGGGAGAAAGAAATTACCTCTTGTTGTATGCAAAATCAGGATTAACTATATCAAACTTTTTTGGGTGGATTCTGTAGCATTTGCCATAATTTTCAGGGATATGCAACACGCATATCCTTCAATTTAGAATATTTTCCAAAGCCAAAGGCAAAACATGTTGTCAACCCTCAGACCATTGTCCTACAGATGGTGTCCCCCTCCACTGAATCCTTTTAAATATTGAAAAATATCCCAGTGGGTTGGCCCACATAAAATAATTAGCTTTATGGACAATGGGCAGAGGCAGAGATAGGTTGTATTTTTATATTTCAACCTGTTCCTTTAGAAAGATTTCCCCTCCCCAGCAAATCTTGTTAGTAATTTATAAGCCCTGATCCTGGAAACACTTGATGGTCGTTTGGTAATTTAATTATACTAGACAATCAAAAGTGACACTCCCCTTTTAAAGTCTGTTGTTGGCCCACTAACTTCTACTGAATCACCTTGGGATGGTGGCGGCGGTCAGATTCAGCTGTTTACACTCTTAAAGATAAAAAAAAAGATGTAGATGTAAAAGAGAAAATGATCTTTGTGGTGTTTTGAAGTTCTCTTTTCTAATTTTATTTTTCAGGACAACAAAAATCTTTATGGTTGCAAATATTTATTGAAAGTAGTGTACAGGCTCTGTGAGATTTGTTTTTGGGCTTAAGAATTTCTTTAAATAAACTGTCGCACATTGGAGTGTGTACCATGTAAACATGTTTGTAAGTTTTTCATTCCTTGGGGACACCATCATGATAGTAATTCTGTGCATATAGTGTTGGGCATATCCTGAGACAGAAGTGATCACAGCAATCCATCTTGCAGGGAGGTGGGGATCAGCAACTACTAATGAAAGAGTTTGAGCCTTATGCTATATGATAGCATAAGTATCAAGAGGTTGATACTTACAGGTGAAATTCGAAAAATTAGAATATTGTGCAAAAGTTCATTTATTTCAGTAATGCAACTTAAAAGGTGAAACTAATATATGAGATAGACTCATTACATGCAAAGCGAGATAGTTCAAGCCTTGATTTGTCATACTTTTGCTGATTATGGCTTACAGCTCATGAAAACCCCAAATTCACAATCTCAGAAAATTAGAATATTGTGAAAAGGTTCAATATTCTAGGCTCAAAGTGTCCCACTCTAATCAGCTAATTAAGCCATAACACCTGCAAAGGGTTCCTGAGCCTTTAAATGGTCTCTCAGTCTGGTTCAGTAGGAATCACAATCATGGGAAAGACGGCAGACCTGACAGTTGTGCAAAAAACCATCATTGACACCCTCCATAAGGAGGGAAAGCCTCAAAAGGTAATTACAAAAGAAGTTGGATGTTCCCAAAGTGCTATATCAAAGCACATTAATAGAAAGTTATGTGGAAGGGAAAAGTATGGAAGAAAAAGGTGCACAAGCAGCAGGGATGACCGCAGCCTGGAGAGGATTGTCAGGAAAAGGCCATTCAAAAGTGTTGGGGACTTTCACAAGGAGTGAACAGAGGCTGGAGTCAGTGCATCAAGAGCCACCAGACACAGATGGATCCTGGACATGGGCTTCAAATGTCGTATTCCTTGTCAAGCCTCTCCTGAACAACAAACGTCAGAAGCGTCTTACCTGGGCTAAAGAAAAAAAGAACTGGTCTGTTGCTCAGTTGTCCAAAGTCCACTTTTCTGATGAGAGCAACTTTTGCATCTCATTTGGAAACCAAGGACCCAGAGTCTGGAGGAAGAATGGAGAGGCACACACTGCAAGATGCTTGAAGTCCAGTGTGAAGTTTCCACAGTCTGTGTTGATTTGGGGAACCATGTAATCTGCTGGTGTTGGTCCATTGTGCTTCATTAAGTCCAGGGTCAAAGCAGCCGTCTACCAGGAGATTTTGGAAGCACTTCATGCTTCCTTCCACAGATGAGCTTTATGGGGATGCTGACTTCATTTTCCAGCAGGACTTGGCACCCTCCCACACTGCCAAAAGTACCAAAACCTGGTTCAATGACCATGGGATTACTGTGCTTGATTGGCCAGCAAACTCGCCTGACCTGAACCCCATATGGGACATTGCCAAGAGAAAGATGAGAGACATGAGACCGAACAATGCAGAAGAGCTGAAGGCCATTTATTGAAGCAGCCTGGTCTTCCATAACACCTCAGCAGTGCCACAGGCTGATAGCATCCATGCCACGCTGCATTGAGGCAGTAATTGATGCAAAAGGGGTCCAAACCAAGTACTGAGTACATATGCATGCTTATACTTTTCAGAGGTCCAATATTGTTCTATGTACAATCCTTGTTTATTGATTTCATGTAATATTCTAATTTTCTGAGATTGTGAATTTGGGGTTTTCATGAGCTGTAAGCCATAATCAGCAAAAGTATGACAAATCAAGGCTTGAACTATCTCGCTTTGCATGTAATGAGTCTATCTCATATATTAGTTTCACCTTTTAAGTTGCATTACTGAAATAAATGAACTTTTGCATGATATTCTAATTTTTTGAGTTTCACCTGTATGCTATCTTGCCCAATGAATGTTGCTCCTCTGAGTTGTCTTGGACAATTTTATTGGGAATAAAATTCACCAACCTACCTGGTCTGCTTCTGAACATGTGCTCATGTGTCTGCACATGTATGGGCCATATTGTCCTTCAGACAGCAAAGTATCTGAAAGCAGTTGTGGTTCAGGATGGCATTCAAATCACCACATACATGGTATTCTGCTGGGATACTGTGGCCATTTTCCAGAGACATGATTTCAAAAACGAGCCTGGAGGTCTTTCAGAGGCCATAAGATGACTTCAGTTCTTGGTGACCTTACAGATCTTACAGATTCAGCCAGTGTCTTCGCAACTGAAGTGACTTGTTATGATCTCACATTTCTTCTATTTGGATCAAGAAATAATTGTTGTATCATGAGGCACCATGAATCCCTTTATACTATGTATCTCTCTCTTTCTCAATAGTCTGGGGATGGGGGTGAGGATAAAATATTTGGCCTGAACATATAAGATTATAAATATGGCTTACATGACCATGAATTCCCCTCCACCTGATTTTTATTGATACTTTACACAATATGCTTGTTTACAGTAAATAGGGGAGAGATCATAGAGCATAATGAAGCCATAAACAAATCATACACTAGACTAAAATGTGGATGCTTTCTCTGTGCTGCATGACATATAAATGGCCCTCAACGAATTAGGCCATTAGGAGGAAGTCCTAGATCAGAACTCTCCCTCAATAGGCTGCGATTCAAACATGGTGCCCTATCACCATTCTGTGCTCTCTGTAAGTCAAAATCATAACTGATCATTAAATAGTCCATGAAATCAATGAAAGTGCTGGTGTTGGAGTTAAAATGCTGGGATTAAATTTACTAATATGGACAGGATGAGGTAAGTGGGCAGACTCTCCATCAAAAGTATTTTTTCTTTTAGGTCCAAACATGGGTTCTACTGGTGATTTTTGCAGGGCGGTACACAATGATTGGGTTTGCACATTACTATATTAGATTAAAATCAGTTGAGTGACTTAATATATGAAGAATCCAGCCATAGTTTTACCACATTATGTGAACTAGGACACCATATTAAGCCATATTGTAGTTTGTTGAGCAGAAGATAAGAAGGCACTTTCCAGCACACCCAACCATTTGATTTTTCTAATCTTGGGGAATGCTAGTAAATGAAAATAGTCTCATAGCAACTAAGAGACTGGGCCACTGATAAGCAAATGCTGGGTTTCACTATAATAACATTAGGGCTTCATCAATTTCCTCATGCAAGCTATTTCCCCAGGCCGAGTACATTTCTTACTTCTTGCAAAATGAAGATAAAAATATTAGATTATTTTCCTAGATTAAAGTACTGAGGCAAAATACAATTATTTCCTAATCTGTCAAAATATATCTAAAGGATACCAGTTCTAATGCTCTGTGTAGGACTATTCCAACAAAATCTATATCAGAGGACTTTCCTCCAAAATAGGATTCATAGTTGGAAGGTAGAGACTAAATAATTTCAAGAAATGCATCAACATCACACCTAGATATGGTAGCTCTGCTCAGAAGGTACTGTGCCTAAAGATATATTAAAACAACATATTAAGCACTTTGATCATTTCTACTACTCTTCTAATAGCTGCTGAATTCTAACAATACCCATCTTTTGTAATTAAGCAGAGTGACCGGAGATGAATAATGGAAATTGGAATCCAACAATTTCTGGAGAGGACAGTTTTACTGCCCCCGTTGTTATAAATACTAGGATTGTGGAAAATATTTAAAAGACATAATCCTGTCTTTTACAAGGCTGTCTTGTAAAAACTGCTCCTAACTGTACTGTACTGTACTGTGTAGCTCAGTCAATTCACTAATCGTCCTAGTACACACCTACAAAAGGAGGAAATTTCAAAGCAGCCATGAAAATTTTGTAATATAGAAACTACTTACAATTGATCACTTAATGAGTCTTTGAAATTATGATGGACCTCCCAAGACCCATTTTCTAAATTATGATGGCTTGCATATACACACCCACACGGTCATGTGATTGCCTTTTGGGCACTTGACAACCAGATCATCTTTATGGATGTTTGCAGTATCCTGAGGTCATGGAACCATGATATGTAATGTTTTTTGCCCGTTTCTAGCATTTACTTCTGCTTTTCTGGCCAAAGTTGTCCACTGGAAATCATGAATTGACTTAACGACCATGGTGCTTCTTTAACAATCATCATAAAAATGGCTGTAACTTTGAATCCAGTCGTGTGTTGCCTCAATTTATGACTGTAATTCTGGGCTTAAAACTATGGTTTTAAGTCAAGTTATTTACCTGTAAAATGAAAGATTGTGAAGTACTTATTGTTTTAAATTAATATTCATGAGAGACAGGTATCAGAAAGACTTAGAAAATAAGCATCTCAGATTTTAAAAATGACTCCCCCACACTAGAACTTTCCAAACTCTTTTTAATTAGACATGCCATTGATTGTTCAAGCTACAGTACAAGGACATAGGCCAATTAATATGAACATAACAGATGGAATAGAAACTCAGGACCGGACCTGCCGGAAGAGGCAAATGAAAGCAGGTTGACCTGCACTTGGGAAAGACAAAACATTAAAGACACTCAAGCACACAGAGAGGACAGACTCACACAGAGGACATCTACTCAACTGTGTATGATTGAATTTTTTAAGTGCAGGTCACAGGGAAAACAACATTGTTCCCTGCATGCAGCAGTCATCACATCATTGTATCAAACAGCAAAATAAATGGATCCAAATTGAACCCTACAAGCTAAAACAGCTTCTTGGCCCCCAATGTAATAGTGGAATCACAAATGAAATAAATTCTTCCAGGCCTTTTCCTATAAGCTTAGTGTAAGATTCAACACAATTTTACCCAAACACACTAATCAATCCACAATATCTCACAGCAAATTTGGAAGTCAAAGTACTTTCCAGGAATTTAGTGAGTGATGCCATCCCTTTCAGAAACACATAAATGTTATGAGTGATGCCATCCCTTTCAGAAACACATAAATGTTATGCTGGGTTAATAAACAAACCAAGAGAGGTGTCCAAAGTTTACCAGACACTGATCAGCACAGCGTTTGATATTGTACAATCCACAGTGCTAGCAACAAAACCTTCCTTCCTAATGATCTGTGATGAAAGACTCAGTTTAACACCAAAAAAGAAACAT